AGCACGCGTGAACCCTCGGGTCGGGTCGGGCGGACGGGCGGGTCGGGTCGGTCGGAAACGGGCGGGTCGGGTCGGGCAGGCGGGACACTAAAGTGTGGAGGCGCGCTCGAGTGAGCACGCGTGAACCCTGACGGGCGGGTCGGGTCGGGTCGGGCGGACCCTAACGGGCAGGGCGGGTCGGGTCGGGTCGGGCAGACCCTAACGGGCGGGTCGGGTCGGGCGGGCGGGACACTAAAGTGTGGGGCGCGCTCGAGTGAGCACGCGTGAACCCTAACGGGCGGTCGGTCGGGTCGGGCGGACCCTAACGGGCGGGACGGGTTCGGGTCGGGCGGACCCTACGGGCGGGTCGGGTCGGGCGGGCGGGACACTAAAGTGTGGAGGCGCGCTCGAGTGAGCACGCGTGAACCTTGACGGGCGGGTCGGGTCGGGTCGGGCGGACCCTAACGGGCGGGCGGGTCGGGTCGGGCGGGCGGGACACTAAAGTGTGGGGCGCGCACGAGTGAGCACGCGTGAACCCTAACGGGCGGGTCGGGTCGGGGCGGTGGCGGGCGGCAGACCGGGCGTGGTCGGGTCGGGCAGGGCGCGCTCGAACGCGTGACCCTAACGGGTGGGCGGGCGGACCCAACGGGCGGTACGGGTCGGGTCGTCGGACCCTAACGGGCGGGCCGGGTCGGGCAGGCGGGACACTAAGTGTGGAGGCGCGCTCGAGTGAGCACGCGAGAATCCTGACGCGGGTCGGGTCGGGTCGGGGGCGGACCCTAACGGGCGGGGTCGGGTCGGGCGGCGACCCTAAAGGGCGGGCGGGTCGGGTCGGGCGGCGAGACACTAAAGTGTGGAGGCGCGCTCGAGTGAGCACGCGTGAGCCCTAACGGCGGGTCGGGTGGGGCGGCGGACCCTGACGGGCGGGACGGGCCGGGTCGGGCGGACCCTAACGGGCGGGTCGGGTCGGGCGGGCGGGACACTAAAGTGTGGGGCGCGCTCGAGTGAGCACGCCTGAACCCTGACGGGCGGGTCGGGTGGGGCAGGCGGACCCTGGCGGGCGAAGCGGGTCGGGTCGGGTCGGGCAGACCTTAACGGGCGGGTAGGGTCGGGCGGGTGGAACACTAAAGTGTGGGGCGCGCTCGAGTGAGCACGCGTGAACCCTAACGGGCGGGTCGGGTCGGGACGGGCGGACCCTAACGGGCGGGGTCGGGTCGGGTCGAGGACCCGAACGGGCGGGTCGGGTCGGGCAGGCGGGACACTAAAGTGTGGAGGCGCGCTCGAGTGAGCACGCGTGAACCCTGACGGGCGGGTCGGGTCGGGTCGGGCGGACCCTAACGGGCAGGGCGGGTCGGGTCGGGTCGGGCAGACCCTAACGGGCGGGTCGGGTCGGGCGGGCGGGACACTAAAGTGTGGGGCGCGCTCGAGTGAGCACGCGTGAACCCTAACGGGCGGTCGGTCGGGTCGGGCGGACCCTAACGGGCGGGACGGGTTCGGGTCGGGCGGACCCTGACGGGCGGGTCGGGTCGGGCAGGCGGGACACTAAAGTGTGGGGCGCGCTCGAGTGAGCACGCGTGAACCCTGACGGGCGGGTCGGGTCGGGTCGGGCGGACCCTAACGGGCGGGGCGGGTTCGGGCCGGGCGGACCCTAACGGGCAGTTCGGGTCGGGCAGGGGGGACTAAAGTGTGGAGGCGCACTCGAGGGAGCACGCGTGAACCCTGACGGGCGGGTGTGGTGGGGCAGGCGGACCCTGGCGGGCGAAGCGGGTCGGGTCGGGTCGGGCGGACCCTAACGGGCGGGTCGGGTGAAGCGGGCGGGACACTGAAGTGTGGGGCGCGCACGAGTGAGCACGCGTGAACCCTAACGGGCGGGTCGGGTCGAGTCGGGCGGACCCTAACGGGCGGGCCGGGTCGGGCGGGCGGGACGCTGAGGTGTGGGGCACGCTCGAGTGAGCACGCGTGAACCCTAACGGGCGGGTCGGGTCGGGTCGGGCGGACCCTAACGGGCGGGGCAGGTCGGGTCGGGTCGGGTTCGGTAAGAGGAGCAGCAGCAGCATGAAAGAACAGTAGAGGGAAGAGGAGAAGAGGAAAAGGAGGGCGAAGTTGAACCCAGGCGAAAACGAGCCCGGGCGAAAGCCAACCCGGGCGAAAGCCAACCGGGCGAAAGCCAACCCGGGCGAAAGCCAACCAGGCGAAAGCCAAACCAGGCGAAAGCCAACCGGGCGAAAGCCAACCGGGCGAAAGCCAACCCGGGCGAAAGCCACCCCGGGCGAAAGCCAACCGGGCGAAAGCGAACCCGGGCGAAAGCCAACCCGGGCGAAAGCGAACCCGGGCGAAAACCAACCCGGGCGAAAGCCAACCGGGCGAAATCAAACCCGGGCGAATCGAACCGGGCGAAACGCACCGGGCGAAAACCAACCCGGGCGAAAAACATCTACGCCACGATGTCAATATCAGTTTCATCAATGGGTGGGGTAAAGCTAACATGTCCCAAGACGGGCTCAAGCCAGCTCATGTCCCCTGCTGGCGGGTGAGCAACCCGACGCTTTGGAACTTCTGCTTCTATGGCTGGCTGGAGGGGGGGGGGCTCGCGCGGTCCAGCGCGGACCGCCTGTCGTTGTTGGTTCCAGTCGCGTGTTTTAGTGGGATTGCTAGTTGCGTTTGCGTTGCTGCGCGTGTCGTTGCTGCTTCTCGTCGCGTTGGTTACAGCGGCGGTGTGGTGGCGCTGTTGTTGCTTCGCGTCTCGCTGCTGCTCTCTTTCGCGCTCGTCGCAGTGGCGCTGCTGGTGGCGCTGGTGAAACTGCGTTTGGCGTTGTTGTGTGGCATCGCTGTGGTCATGGTGGTGTTGTCGGCAACGTTTCTGCTGCGTCGCGTGGAGCTTTTGCCTCCCCTCGTGGCCGCCATGTTTGCACTGCTAGTGTCGCTGGTGCTGGTGCGTGTCGTGCCTGTTTTGTGCTGTTTGCTCTGTTGCTGCTGGTGGCGCTGGTGCTGCTTGCGCTGCAGGTGCGTATGGCGCAGTTGGATATTTGGTTGCGCTCGTTTCGGTGGTGTTGCGTGTTGCACTAGAGCCGGTTCGAATTCCCCTTTGGGGGGTGGGGCTCGGTTCGAATTCCCCATTGGGGGGGGTGGGGGGGGTGGGGCGGCCCCCGGTGAGAGAGGCTGGCATCCCCAGGGGGAGGGGCGGGGCGGGGGGCGGCGGTTTTCCGGGCGCACCGAATATTTTTTGGGGGCCTTTCCGACGTGTCGCGGGATGCTGTCAAAGCAAGCGTCCACGAATCGCGTCTTCTCGAAGATGACGATGACGACGACGGAGAGGGCTCGACGGGAGGAGGGAGACTACGATTCAGTTGTCAAAGAGCTGACATATTATCAAGTGGGCGAGGGAGGACACGGAGGAGGGCGAGAGGGAGTGTGAGTGTACTGGTGTAGGAGGGGGACGAGGTGGAGGACGACGAGCACGAGCACGAGAAGGAATAAGGAGGAGAGGGGGATAGCATGTGGGTGGAGGGATAGAGGGGGAGGAGGCAAGAAGAAAATTGTGTGCAATATCCCGCAGATCAGGATCAGGAGGAGTGGGGGAGGTGAGGCAGCATCAGCACGCGAATCACCGGGGCAGTTAGAACGGGATGAGCAGGATATGCAGACAGATCAGCATGCGCATGCGGCCCAGGAGGAGGCGGACAAGCTTCACGAAGAGGAAAACCGAGCACACCATGAGTGATGAGGACGGCGAACGGAGGAGGACGACGAGGAAGCCGAGAGAGCCCGCAGCAACAACAAGAGGCGGAAGGACAAGATGATAAGATCGGTTCAGGTCCATCGCCCCGCAGAGATCTGGACATATGCTTTGAGTAGGACCGAGGGTCAGAGAGCGCCTTCCTCTTCAGGATTACCATCAAAGGGACGTCAAGGTGGTCAAACGCCTCGCCAGTTAAGCCGACAAAGACGTGCATAAGTCAATCAGTCGCTTGAAAACTGTCCAAAGTTTTGGCTTGACGCTGAGTGTGGTGCAACAAGTTCAGCTTGGCTGAACAAGCTGGTTGCGCCCCTTGTTGTCCGTTTGGGGTGTTCTGCACATGGCTCGATCTGAACGGTCTCTTGGCGATTTCGTGGACCGTTTTCGTTTTGACTTCGTTTTGCAGCGCGTGCGGAGCGAAGACAAAACGAAGGACAAGGAACAACAAACGACAACGAAATTCGCTGTCCTGGTCGAGCCCTGCAACCCTGACCACCAGCCCTGCTCAACAGATGCTACAGTCAACCCGCACAGCAAGGATGGGCAATGTTCATAAGGGTGCCCTTGCATCCTTGCATCCTTGCCTCCTCTGTCCATTTTGGCCAACTTGCATCCTTACCGCGCATCCTTATAATACGGGCCGAGTGTACTCAACATATGCTAGTGTCGCACGCTCTCGTGCCAGATATGCAGGAAGAAGGAGAGGAAGAGGAGGACGATGAGGACGAGGAGAACGATGAGGACGAGGAGGAGGAGGACGAGGAGGACGTGGACAAGGAGGAGGACGAGGAGGACGAGGAGGGGTGAGAAGACGAGGAGGACGAGGAGCATGGCCATCAATTGCGAGAGGCTTGTCGAGAGCACGCGTCATCGGGGATTGGTTGCCTCGCCAAGGATCGTCCCCGAAGGTAGCCGATTGTTTGAGGACGAGGAGCATGGACATCAATTGCGAGAGGCTTGTCGAGAGCACGCGTCCGCGGGGATGGCTGCCTCGCCGGGGGTCGTCGTCCCAGAGGGTGGCCGATGGTTTCCTTCGCCGCACCGTTTGCTGCGGCAGATGGCGGCTCCGATGCTGGAGACTGAGAGCTCCTCCTCCTCCTCCTCCTCCTCCTCCTCCTCCTCCTCCTCCTCCTCCTCCTCCTCCCTCTCCTCAACACCAGCACTCCTCAGTCTTCACCTTCCCTCGCCCTCCCCGATCCACCTCTCCTCCCCCTCCGCGCCTTCCTCGAGAGAGAGAGAGAGGATGAGGAGCATATGGGGAGGAGCCCCACGCGGCCTCCCCCGCAGCCATTGCGGCCCAGTCTGGAGAGACACGCCGCCGGCCGCCGCCAGCGTGCCACATCTGCTCCGCGCGCCGCAGGGAGGCAGGGCCATGCCTCCGTCTCAGAGCCGCGTGCTCGTGGTGGGCGGGAGCTTCGCGGGCCTTCGCGGGCAGAAACACGAGGGCCATGGCCAAGATGTCGCGGGATCTTTTGGACGCCGATGTGAGTCATGGTCCATGCCGGCCGTCGCCGATTCGCGAGGATGATCTACGTACGCGTCGACGGTGACTTTGATGGACGATGACCAAGATCGACTCCGACGTGTCCGCGTTCGATTCGGGTCATGGTAATTGTTTCCCTCCCATAAAGGCCTGTGCATCGGGCGTGACCTGAAGAAGGACTTCCTGGTCACCATCGTGGACGCGAAGGAGTTCTTCGAGTACACGCCGGGCGTGCTGCGCGCATACGTCAAGCCGAAGCACCTGGACGCCCTGACGTTCACACTGTACCCTGTGATCGAGTATCAGATGGGCCTCAAGTTCATATGGGGCGAGGTTGCCAGACCTCCTCTCGAGCCTAGCGGCGTTTGTTATGTTTCTCTGCCCCCAGGGGCCCTTCACCTGGCCTCGGGACCGTCCACAAGACGACCCACAATGAAGAATTGGGCCAAGGAGAGGATCCAGGCCTCTCTGGAAGTCCACGTCCTGAAGCACAATTCTGCCCGTGATCCTTTTCTTATTCGTTGTTTTGCCCATCGGCGCGGGACCTCGCGCCTTCCTCCCCTACCCACCTCCTGGAGTAGATCTTGGATGTTTTTGGCGCCTGTTTCAAGCACGTGGAGCCTTTCCGATAGGACGCACAGTCTCAAACAGTCGCAGTAATCAGAGGTCCGGAGCCAGACCCCTCCCCCTTCCCCCCTCCCTTCCGCCCAATGTCGGAACGCCGAATAAGAAGAGGCTGACTTCTCGGCAGTTCTCCGGCCTGGGGATGCGTTCCATCACAGCCCCGCTTCGCCGAGCGCGTTGTGAGGTGCCCCGAAGGGCCCGCCGACGACACGAAGGAGGGCCCGAGAGCCAGTCGCCTGCGTTCAACGTTGAACGCCGGCGACGACCAAGAATCGGTCGATGTTAAAGGATCTGGTTGACCCAAAAGAGGGTCCAGCTAAACGGCGTGGTACAATAGATTTGGTGCAATATAATTGTGTGGTTGCAAGAGATTTGGGGTGTGCAATACATTCGGGTGCGCAAATGTACTGCTGGATCTTCGCGTGCAATACATTAGCTGCAATAGACTTCTCTGGCGCAGTACATTTGCAATATTATTGCCCCACATATATTGCACGACCGCCTTTCAGCTGGACCCCCTTTGGAGCTGCCTTTCCGACAACAACCGGTTCTTCATGGTCGAAGGTTCCCCGCGGTGTCACGAACCGACGGGCGGGGTCGACACGACATACGAGCCCGCGGCACGAAGGCCGAGGGCCGTTCCTGCTCATTTGGGAAAGGGCTCGCTGTTGGTGTCGCCGCGGACGTCGGCCACTTTGGAAAGAAGACCACTTACCCAGTATTGGCATGGGGGAAGCGGGTCCTGAGGTCCTGGACACCGGCCAGGGCTTTCCCCCAGGACGAGTTCTTCATCGTGAGTTGTTTTCTGACGGCCCGTGGAGGGCTCCGAGAGCCCGAGAATGCCGCCCCCCAAGAAATCACGACTTTTTCAGGGCTCGTTTCGATTCCTCCGATTCGATTCGACTTCGATGCCTTCCGATTCCGATTCGAATCGGCTTGGGATTCCGATTTGGGTTCCGATTTCCCACTGGAGGCAGACAAGCCTGCCGATGTCCGCCGATTCGACTTTTCCCGACTCGGCTTCCGATTCCCGCCGATCCGATTCCTGTCGATCGCCGATCCGACTCGTCGATTCGATTCTGGGCTCTCCTGCTATTGTTCCTCGGGACCCGTTTTCCGTTGTGGCGATGGTTAGAGGCCGCGGCGTCAGGAACCAACGCCGGCGTCGACGCGGCAAGAGCCGGCGGCAGGAAAGCTGCGGCACGCCGCCGAGCCCGCGCCGCCCAGAACGTGCCTCGACGGCGCGGCCGCGCCTGGCGCCGGAGGGCGTCTGGGGTTGCTAGGAGTGCCCCTGGCTTTCAGTCGGGCGCGTCCCTCTGCAGGGGGAATGTTCAAAAATAGTTACAAAGTAGTGTGGGGACGAATTTCCGAATATGTTTTTAGCATGTTTGAGCATTGTTCGACTACGTCTTTCTTTGTCGTCCAAAATCCGCCTGTAGGAGGACATGCCCGACCTACCGCTACTGGCGCCGGGAGGCGTCCGGGGTTTAGAAGTGCCCATGGCTCCATTTTGGAGCCCCTGGGGCCCTCTCGGCCTCGTGAGGGGTGCTCTGGAGGCCGTGGTGGCCTCCTTGAAAATTCTGGGGGCACCTTGGGCAAGGGGTAAATCTACTGGCAACATCAGAATCTGGAGAAGACGGCTGCGTGTTGGAGCCGCCTGGGGTTCTGAGGCGGTCCGGCGTTCAGGTGGCCAAGTATGGGAGCTGTTGTTCGACTCGAAGTGTTTCTGTAGTGGGTGCCCACGCGAGATTGTGACATCATTTGGTGGGATATAGCGTGGTCGACAGTGGGATCTTGTGAGCTTGAGCAGGGGCCCACTGACTACCACTAGCCAGGCGCCCGTGCGATTGCTTGAGGCTCCCTCTGCCTGGCCAACTGACAGCACGGGCTCCGGGCGGCAGGAAGGGGGGCGGTCCGACTATCGAGGACGGACGCCCCCCCGCGAAGAGTAGATCCCCGAGTTTGGCGCCCCAAATGCCTGGTCAACTCGGAAACTTCGCAAGGCGGTCGGAGATCACCCGCCCCCATTAAACCATGTCGTCGGGCCCGAAAGGTGCTGGAGATGAAGCCGGACAGGACCGCCGTGATCAAGCCGATGTTCACCACGGCGCAGGAGGTCATCGACTTCGATTATTCCATCATCGCGGCGGGGTGCAATTTCGGCGTCTTCCACAAGTGGGGCGAGTCCCTCTGGTTCCCGACCATCCACGAGAAGGCGCGTCCCGAGGGGTCCTGGTCGCACATCGACGAGCGTTTCCTGGAGGGCCGCCGCCGCCACGTCCTGGAGGAGTACAAGAGCATCCGCGAGATGAACGCGGCGAAGGCCTCCGTCATGGTGGTCGGCGCTGGCTTCATCGGCGTCGAGTGGGTCACGGAGCTGGAGCACTTCTTCCCCAACCTCTCGCTGGCGATCTGCGACATGCTGCCCAAGTGCCTGGGCCCGCTGCCCGAGAGCGCCGCGGAGTACTGCGTCAAGTACATGAAGAGGAAAGGGATCACCCAGATCTACGGCGAGAAGTTCGACGAGAAGAGCACGGAGTACCTGGCAAAGACTGGCCTGAAGGACAAGAGCGGCAAGCCCGGCTGGGACAAGAAGTACGTCTGCGTCGGCGTCAAGGCGTCCAATTACTTCATGCCCGAGGAGACCCTCAGCACCGTGGGCCCCGGGGGCGGCAAGTGGATTCTCATGGACCAGACGCTCGCGGTGAGGACCAGGGAGGGCAAGCGCTGGTGCGTTGACGAGAAGGGCTACGGACGCATCTACGCCGTAGGCGACTGCAACTTCGGCTGCGTCGAGATTCCCCCCGACGACCCGGACCTGCTGCGCGAGGCCTCGGGACACATCTCGGGGCAGTTCCTGGGCGGGGCATCCACGAAGGGAGAGATCTCTGTCACAGACGCCAGCCAGGTGAGCGGCGCAAGAACACGGGGTTGTCTGCGCCGGCATCGGCGCGTAAGCAGCCGCGAGCGCCCTCGTCTCCAATGTAGCGTGCCGCGACGGCGGCCCGCGTAAGCCGCCGCGTGAGGTCGCTATGCCATCTCGCGTGAGACCCGTGCTCGATCGCCGCTCAGGTGTTCAAGAGGTTCGACGAGGTGACGGTCGCGGAGAAGAAGTACGAGATCCTGTCCATCTCCGCGCCGAAGACGCATGGAACCACCACGGTCTATTCCGTGGTGATGAGCATGCCGTTCGCCGGGAACGCGAGCGGCGCGGTCCCGGTGAAGAAAGCCGGCGGCGGTGGCCGGAGCATCAACGCTTGGCCCGTCCCTCCGATCCCAAAAATCTCGTACCCTGGCGAGGAGGAGGCCGTTATCGCGTGCGCCAACATCCACAGGATCTGATGGGCCGATCTCCCACCTTCCATACAACAGGCAGGATGGGGGAGAAGGGAGCATAGGGAGGTCCTCCTCTAGTACTCCTCTTTCTCCTCCTCCTCCTCCTCCTCCTCCTCCTCCTGTTCTCCTCCTCCTCCTCCTGTCGTGCCACGTTCGCAGCAGCATAATCAGACGTACAGTTTCAAAGAACTAGTGAGACTTTTTCCTCGATAGGCCCCGTGGGGCCTCTCTGTTTTTTCGCTGACCTGGTAAGGCTGTCGTCTCCGTCGTCTCGGCGTCGTGTCGTCGTTCGTCTTTCCGCTTATCTCGCCTTCCCCGCTCCTGGGCCTCGGCCTTTCTGTCTGCGTGACTCTATCAACGCCTAGGGTCACGCAATTTCTCCTCCCCCCCTGCGGGGGTCACGCCTTTCTGCGGGCTGGTGAACGCTGTGACTCCCACTCCCGCTTGCGGGAGGGGGGAGACACGGCATTCGCCTCTCGCGCAAAGATGTTTTCGCCCGCCTTCTCTTGTGCCCCCCTCGGGGCCTCTCCCGTCGTTGCTGCTTGCTTCGGACCGACCCAGGTCAGTGCTCCGAGGATGCATCGTGGTCGAGCGAGTTTCCACTCGGGACTCCCCCGTGGGGGCCAGACTTCTTTACGTTATAGTGCACGGTAGGTCGCACATCTCTGAGGATTCTTGGAGGCGTGGTTCTTTCGAAATTTAGTTTCGATGCACGACCCGATACCGATTCGCCGCCGCCGCCTCATCCTCATCCCTCTCCAAACTATTGGTAGTGGTGGCGGAAAATCGGCCCATGAGGATCGAGAAGCTGAAGCACGGCAAGACCGTCGACTGCTGCTACGCGCCCCTGCAGCCGGCGAAGATGCACTGGCCCTGGGGCGCCGGCATGTTCGCCACCTCGCTCGGGCCCGACACCGCGTGCTTCGTGGCGGGGGCCAACTGGCAGAAGAACTCGGGCCTGTGCTGCGTGTGGGGCCCGCCCTGCGCCGTGCAGAAGGAGATCATCGAGGCCCCCACCCCCCTCCCCTCCCTCGCGCCGTCCGTCGAAGACAAACAATCCCATAGACATAAACTTTTAGCGCTCCGCGCGGATTTCTTGGATCCGCGCTGGTCCCCCCCCCAGGCGGCGCCTCTGGGGCCGCCCCCGGCGCGCCCCGCGCGCCAGGGAGGGGGGTCGGCGCCGATCCGAGAAATCCGCACGGACCTCCGAGTTTTTATTTTCACTGCAGTTGTCGTTCCCCTAATCCCCTCCCTCGCGCCCTCCGTCCCTCCCTTCCTCGCCCGCGTCCACACAAAGAAACCCTGATCCCGATCCTCCTCCTCTCCCTCCGCCTCCCTGTCCTCTCCCTCCCTGGATCCCTCTCCCTCTCCCCCCCCCGAAGGCCCCCGGTGGTCTCTGGCAGCTCGCTGGCGGCACCCTCCAGAAGTCTCCAGAGGCCCTCCGGAGGCCTGAGGCCCAAAGACGTGACAAAGTCCTCGACATCAGACCCTCGAAGCTCGGCCGAGCAGCACACTCGAGCCTCGGCGAGGCCTCCAAGACCGACGAGTGCGCGAACGGCGTCATCGGGCGCATGATCTGGCACTTTGTCCACCACACGCCGGTGCGCAGGAGGGACGAAGATGCCCGTACCCTTTGGTCGGCACGTCCTCCTGCACAGGCGGATGAGGGAGGAGAATGAGCAGATGGTCAGAAAGTGCTCAACGAGTGTCAGACATAGTAAAGAAACATCGTCCCCTGGCTATTTCGTGACTAGCTGTGAACATTCCTCCTGGAGAGGGACATGCCCGACTTGACCGTACCCTTAAGTCGGGCCCGTCCCTCTACAGGGGGAATATCCAAAAGCAGTCAAACAAATGGTCAGGGACGATTTGTTTTGACTACGTTTGCCCATTCGGGGGGGCATTGTTTGAGTGTGTTTTATTCTTCGCCCAAAGTCCCCCTGGCGAGGGACCTGCCCCTCGCTTGCCGCCGACATGAGCTTCTGTGAGGCCCCTCCTCATTCCCAGAATGGGAGCGCCCGCGATGGCGAGGGCGCGAGGACGAGGACGACGAGGACGAGGATGTCTTGCGTTCCTGCAGTGGTGGGCGCCCACGAGCTGATGGGCCTGTCTTCCACCACCACCACCACCACCACCACCACCACCACCACCACAAGTCGGAGGGGGGGAGGAGGCGGAGGAGGAGGAGGAAGAGGAGGAGGAGAACCCCCTCCCCCTCATGCTCGTGATGGTGGCGGTGGCAAACAGGCCCGCCGCGCGCTGCCACGAACCCGCTCTCTGGCGCCGCCAGGTTTGAGTCTGGCCTGTCTCTCCACAGGAGGAATAATCAAAAGTTGTCAAACATTAGTGCGGGGACGATTTTTTGAATATTTTTTTATGCATTTTGGAATATTTGGGATACTTGTCAAATGTTGTCCACAACACGCCTGTGGGGGGGGGGCATGCCCGACCTAACGCCAGGTGCACCTCTTCGGCGGCGCGCCCCGCTGGGGCTACTGAGCGACCCCCGCGGCCCCGCCTGGCCGAGGCTCGCGAGGGCGGGGCCCGCCGAGGCGGCGCCGGGCCCGCCGCGGCGCGCCTCTCCCATCTCGGGGGGGGCCTCGCGACCTGGGGGCGGCCAAGAGGGGCGTCGTCGTCGTCGTCGTCGTCCTCCTCCTCCTCCTCCTCCTCCTCTTCCTCCTTCTCCTCTTCCGTCTCCTCCTCCTCTTCCCCCTCATCCTCCTTCTCCCCCTCCTCCTCCGCATCCGCCTCCTCCTCCTGCTTGTGGGCTCAGGAAGGGGCTCTGGTGTTCGTCATGACTACAGTCAGCGCGCCCTGCTCACTTGGGCTACTTCTGCCAAGTAGGTTCACAAGCGCATGGTGTGATACCAGAGGCAAGGGTCTGATGAGCCAGGCCAAACTTCGGCGATCGCCGCTGTTGGCAAGTGTGCACGGTGCAGGACACGAGCATTCGGGTGGCCAAGAGGGGGTGATGATTGCCCATCGGTCGTTGAAAGTGGGTACTTTGGGAGTCCCAGTTTCCAATCTACTGTAAGCGTGTTCCCACTTCAAGGATCGAGTGGCTTCACCTTCTCCATCCTCTTGAGGGGGTGGGCGGACAGCCTATCTACTTTCAGCGCCGTCCTGTTTCATGTTTTTACCTACCTCCGACCGATGGGTACAGTCAACGCGCCCATAAGGACTTGCGCCTTCAACTAGGGTACCCATGTGTCCTTGCCTCTGCGGCCCGTCCTTTGCCGTGTTCACTGGCCGCACGCCGCCCGAAAAGTCCCAATTTCGGCCTCCAAGGGCCTCTCGTCCTGACTACCCGTCCTTAATACACGTTTTGACTGTAGTGGGGGGATCTCATGGCGGGGGTCATGATATCTTCTCAGATTTCATGGCGCCTCTTCTCATTTCGTTTCGTCCCCGGCCGCCCTCTCTCTGGGCCGCGCACATGCCGCCGGCCACGATTTGCGCCCTCCCGCTCTTGAAGGCCCCCCTCTTGGCCGCCCCCAAGAGACGAGGGTCAACGCAAGCGGTGGTCAGTCGGAGCGCCGGATCTTGCAGGATCCTGCAGGGCCAGGGTTGCACTGGCCTGGGCTAGCGTGCAGGATGCTGCAAGGATCCTGCGGGATCCTGCAAGATCTTGCAGGATCCTGCAGGGTTCTGCAAGGCCTGCCGGATCCGGGTGTGGATAGACCCGGGTCAGTAGATCCCCGGTCCTATCCTTAAGTCGGGCACATCCCTCTACAGGAGGAACAAAAAGACTAGTAAAAAATCAGGGGACGGTTTTTCTAGCATTTGTTGCCATTTTCGAATATTGATTGACTACTTTTTCATTTTCGTCCACAATCCCCCTGTAGGTGGACATGCCCGACCTAATCCTATCATTTGGTCAGCCTTTCTGCAGAAGCCAAGAAAGGCATGGCCACAAATGTTCGACGGTTCGCGCGGATTTTTTCGCTCGGCGAGGGGCCCCCCCCGGCGGCGCCTCCGGCGTTGCCCCTGGCGCGCTCCTCGCGCCAGGGAGGGGGTCCAGCGCGGATCCAAGAAATCTGCGCGGACCGTCGAAAGCTGATCTTTCTGCAGCGTCTTTCTTCCACACTCGACTACACGTAAAGGGGACCTTTCTGTTGGAGTTCTTCTTACTGCGGGCTCATCGGGATCCCTACGAACGTTGAGCGCGAGGGGTTAGCGGCTGCTTGCGCGCTTGGATTTGGCTGCCTTGCGCTCCCTTGTGCACGGGCACGCACCAGAGATCATTCTTGCCTGGGGTGATTCGTGCACGCGGCCGGGCCACCCGCAAAGGGGGGGTGGGGGGAGGGGGGTGGGGGCTTCTTTGAAGCCCCCTCTGCTTCTCATAAGGCGCGGGCCTTCTCGACACATACAGGGCCGGCGACCTCTGCGGAGCAGCCTGGTGCCAAGAGGCCCTCCCCCCGCGACCCCCCCCCTGCGCGCGCCGCCAGCCTGGGCCCCCCCCTGAGGGAGGCCTCCCGCCGTCTCTGCTGGAATCCGCACCCGCAGAGTGCCGGAGGCCCGGATGTCGGCAGCAGCACCGCACCGGCGGCGCCTCCTCCACCAGGGGAAGGCTCACGATTTCGGTGGTGGTGGTGGCACGCGGGCTTCGTGGGCAGAAAAGGGGGGGGTGATGACTAGGGGGGGGCGGATTTCATGGCGCGGGCCATGATTTTTCTACAGACTTCATGGCGCCTCTTATTTCATTACGTCCCAGGCCCCCCCGCTGGGCCACGCACATGCCGCCGGTCATGATTTGCACCCCCCCCTCTTGGACACCCCCCTCTTGGCCGCTCCCGAGGGAAGGTGCTCACGATCTCGGTGGTGGTGGTGGCACGCGGGCTCCCCAAGGCGGTCTCAGGGGAGCCCCCCACACCGGCGTCGAGGATCGTCTTGCCCCCCGTGGGGAGGCACCCCCTTGCTGCTGGTGTGCGCAGCAAACCATGGGAGCCTTGCGCACTCGGACCGAGGCGTGAGATCGAAGTCGGCGCGGGGAGGGTACCCTTTATGCTCGTCGTGCTTGTTGGATGTTCTTGTGGATCCTGGGGGGGAGCACCCTTGGATGCTCTGTTTGTTGTGGCCGACGGAGGGTCTCATGTTCTTGAGGGATGTTCTTCTGGCCTAGGTCCGACAGGTCCTCGAAATGTAAGTTTTAGAGTGCGCTGGCGCGTGGCAGTCGACGAGGAAGCGCCGACGCAGCGTCGATCGTAATCGATTCAGCATCGACTCGCGTCGGTTTGCGTCGGCTTGCAAGAGCCAGCGAGACGGCATGTGTTAAGTCCAGCACGCCCCTCTACAGGAGGAATCTTCAAATATAGAAGAACTGTAGTCTGGGGACGATTCTGCCGACTATGTTTCACCATGTTTGAGCATTGTTTGCTTATTTGTCCGTTTTCGTCCAACATCCGCCTGTAGGAGGACACGCCCGACCTAAGGTTAGCGTCGGCTTCAAAGAGCCAGCGAGACGGCATGGGAGGCTCGCGTGAGTTGTCGGAGGTTGACAGACCTCCTGCCCTGACACGTCGATTGGCGAACTGGCCGTTCTCGGTTCGCGAGAGGGCGTCGCGGCCGTCAGTTTTGCGGGTCCAGGTCCGTCGGTTTCGGGCCCCAGGCCGTTGCCATTGAAGGGTGGCTTACCGAAGGGAGGCTTTTCCACCGCCGAAGCTGCCACCGAAGGGCCTGGGCGGCAGTGCCGCCGCTGTCTCCGCTGGCCCCCGCGCCGCCCTGCGCGCGTGCGGCGGCGGGCCCCTCCGGGGCTCGGCGGGCCCTCGGGGGGGGGGGGCCCTCCGTGAGGTCCTGGTTCCGAAGTTGTGTTCCGCCACGGGCGAGGTTCTGCACGGACTGCCTGACGGGCCACGGGGGCTCCCACGAAGCCTGTCCGACTCGAGCAGTGCCGCAGAACAAGGTGATGATGAGCCTGTTTTCAACCACCACCACCATCAGTTGGAGGAGGGGGAGGAGGGCGAGGAGGAGGAGGACGAAGAGAAGGAGGAGGAGGCGGAGGAGGACCCCCCCCTCCAACTCATGGTGGTGGTTGTGGAAAACGCGCCTCGCTAGAGGATTCTGGTGGTGGCACGAGACGATCGCAGAAGAGTCCCACAGGAGGAGGGGGGGTGGGGGAGCCCCGGAGCGTCCGATCAGGCAGCGGGTTGGCCCGAGATGTTATCCCAATGTGTAAGTCGGGCACGTCGTTCTACAGGAGGTATTTCCAAAAATGTTCACAACATAATCGAGGGACGATTTTCCCAGTTTTATGCATGCCATGATTGAGTATTGTTTGCGTGTTTTTATAAATCCTTCAAAATCCACCTGTAGGAGGACATGCCCGACCTAATCCACTGTATTCCTGAAGCGTGGCGTCGCCTCAACGCTGGTTCATGACTCTGTTTGGTCCGGATGGCCACGATATTTTGCAGAATGTACACCAAGGATCACAAGGACGTGCTCTCACTCCTGTCCTCGACCCGCCTCGTCACTTCAAATATTGCTGCTTTCAAAGGGCTGGGCTGGGGTAATTTTCGCGACGCCAGAGCAAGGCACAAACAATGACATTAGCATGAACTGTCGGAGGGCCGATCGAATTTCTCGGATCGGCGCTGGAGCCCCCCCTGGCGGCGCCTTTGGCGCCACCCCTGGCGCACTCCGCGTGCCAGGGAGGGGAATCCAGCGCCGATCCAAGAAATCCGCGAGGACCTCCGAAAGTGCATGTTGTGTCAGTCTTTGTTCCCCTACATCATCACCGAGCGCGTTCCACGACTCGCCGGAGCACCTGCTCGCAAACGTCAGGCAAAAGCACATGCGTGCCTCATTGTTTGTCTACCCTTCTGTCGTTGAAAGTAGGTTCTTCTGCAATCTACTTCAAGCGCCTTCCTACTTCAAGAGTCGATATGGTTTGGCTGTGGTTTCTTATCCTTTGGGCGGGCCCGGACGCAATCTTCTTGTTCCGCCTTCCTACTCCATGTTTCTACCTGCTTCTCCCGACCGGCGTGCAGATCGTGAATCCCCCGCGGCGGACCCAGGGACGCTCGTTAGCGAGTTGTTGTTCCTCTGCGAGCCGTGGGTCGCGCTTGTCCGCTCTCGGGGACCTCCGGGTTTTTCGCGGCGGGCGGTGCGGCAGCGGCCCCGTGGGTGCCGCGGGCCCCGGGCGGCCGGCCACCCTAAGCGGCGGCCCGCGCCGCCAGATTTTGGGCGCCCCCCGCGGGGGAGGAGGAGGAGGAGGAGGAGGAGGAGGAGGAGGAGGAGAGGAGGAGGAGGAGGAGGAGGAGGAGGAGGAGGAGGAGGAGGAGGAGGAGGAGGAGGAGGAGGAGGAGGAGGAGGAGGAGGAGGAGGAGGAGGGCGGCCGGGCGGTCGGGCGGCCGGAGTCGGGATCGGCGCGTCGGGCCGGCGGAGCAAGGATCGACGGGAGGAGCGTCGAGGGCCGGTCTGCAGCCACCAGGGTGCAGCCCACATGCACCTCAAAAAGGTAGTGATGTTCCAACCTACTTCAGCCCTGATCACGAGAGAGAATCTCGAGCCCCGAAAAGGGTACGGAAGCGCAATGGTTTTCGCGTGTCGGGCCCTGGGGGACACCCGTCCGACACTGTTTCGACACTGCTTCGACACTTTTTTCCGGGCGCTCGAAGTTATTTCTGGGATGTGGTCCTTCAGTGCGACGGGAGCAGCATAACTCGAAGGGTGGGCGATGCCCTGTGATAGGGGTCCGTGCAGTCGTGCCGCGAGCAGGCCGCTGCGACAGGGCCGGCCTGGGCGAGAGCCCAGGCGGCCTAAAGGGCGTGCCGCGAGGCGCGTCGGCCAATCCCACAGGACCAGCCTCCAGGACCAGCCACATCGCAGGAGCGGCAACGACGACGCTGGGAGCAGGCCCGTCCTGGAAAGAGAGCCCAGACGGCCTGTGGAACAGAACGCCAGGATCGGCGGCAGGCTGTGTCCACCGGGAGCACACGAGCACCGCCCCGCCTCGGCGAGACCTGCCGTGGGGGGCCACTTCCGCGAGGCGCTTGCACAGAGCCAGCTACGGTGAAGTCGGGCGTGTCCCGTTACTGTGGGCATTCTCAAGAATAATCCAACAAAGGGAGAAAAACGAGTCTGGGGACGACGATTCGCCCCACGTTTTTGTGTGACAATTGCCTTGCCAACTTTCCAGCCGAAACCTGCCTGTAGGAGGACAGGCCCGACCTGCAGCTGTGGGCGCCCCCCCGCGGGAGTCCGACCCTCCCGGCTCGCACGGCGCGGCGCCCGCACGGCTCCGCAAAGGGGCGGGCCGGCCGACCTCCCCTGCAGGACCGGCCACTCTGTCCGCGGCCTGCAGGAGCGGCAGCGCCGACGCCGGGAGCCCGAGACTGGAATTGATACATGACCACCGGCTGGAGTCACCACTCACCAATCCACCCCAACCCAACCCGAAGGCCTCGATTTGCCCTCCATTTCCAGTGGGGGGGGGGTCGGGGAACATTGAGAAAAAAATGCATATGGAACCCGCACCCCCCCCCACCCGAAATCCAAGTAAAATTCGGGTCTTCGGATTGGGTTCTGGTGGTCTCGTAGGTAGTCATGGAGGATCAATTTTCGGGGACCTCGGCAGGCGGTGGATATGGACATTCTCGGGCCCCCCCCGGGACCAAACTATATATACCCATATCCACCGCCCGCTGGGGCACCAGGACGTCGGTCCCCAGGCGGTGGATATGGATAAGTTCCCGCCTCGCCAGGAGCCAGCATCGGTAGCGTTTAACCAATCCCCATCCCCATACCCATACCCTTCGAGACCCCCACCAAATTGCCCCCCCAGTTGGCGATGCACCCCTCGAGACCCGAAGGGAAATACCTACGTCCCCGTCTTGGGGGGGTAGATCGGCCAGTAGGGCCCAGGCCACGCCGCTGGGGATGGGAATAGGTTAAACGATACTCACAGTACAAAGCTCGGAGCCTCGGGACCGCGACGAGCGTCAGGCCATGCCGCCTCGGATATAGGCCTAGAGGTGGCCGAGCTCCCGGCAGAGAAGTGCGCCACGCACAGCGACGAGGCAACACCTCAAAAGCGGCAAGACGCGGTCAAATCGACAGTAGCCCTCGCTTTCCGCGGATGGGGCACTTGTGGCAAATACATAACATGGAGCCGTCTGGCAGCGATGACCACGCTCTCGAAGCCTGGTCGGGCGCACCTTCCGCTCGGCAGAGAGGTCTCGCGCAAGCGCCCTCGTCTCCGTTGTCATTTTCCGCGCTGGTGGCCCGCGTAAGGTCGCCGCATCATCTCGCGCAAGACCCTTTTCTGAGCGTCGCTCATTTTTGGCCCAGAGACAGACGGGGCCAGCGCACGGGCAACTTCGCCCCCAGACGTCCCACGACCCTGGCAACGGCGCGGGCCCGGTCAGGACCCTCGAGCTCAGACACCGACGGCACAGGCTGCAAGGATACCGCCTGCTTGGCCTCCCAATCAGCCCAGTCGCTTCCGCACCGCAGGAACCGATCGTTGTCGTCTGTCGCAGCCTGGATGTTAAGATGAGCCTTAGCCTTTTCGGGGGGGTCCGGATTCGGGGGGGTCCGGGGGGGTCCGGATTCGGTGATCTTCGCGGTTTTGTGGCCTCCTCCCTCCTCGATTTTTCCGGTCCTCTTTCTTCTCCTCTGGGGGGGTGCCCGGAGCGGTCCCGGGGGGGGGCCGGGGAGGGTTCCGAGAAGAGGGTCTTGGGGGCGGTAGCAGCCAGATCTGGGGGGGGCCCCTGGGACTCCCCGAAACATCTTGGGGATGCGCAAATCATTAAGAGAACGCCAGATGGGGGACCGCCCCCCCCACTCCCACCCTTTCCCGGGGGGGGGGTCGGATGCGCAAATCATGCAGAAAACGCCAGATGGAGGACCCCTCCCTCTTCCTCCCTTCCCCAGCAAGGCCACCCCGGCGACCCTCCCCAAGCAGCTGAGGCCCCTTGTAGCTCACACGCTAGATCGGCGGATTTTTGATTATGTTTGAGCATGTTTGCGCGATGGGTCACTTTCCAACCAACATCCGCCCGTAGTAGGACATGCCCCGCCTTATCCTGGCCTTGTGGGCATCCCTGACTCCGAGCGGCCCGGGAGGTGGGTGCACCTGGGGGGGAGGAGCGGGGGCGTCGGCGGGTCGTCGGGGGAGCGGTCTCGCGGGCGGCACTTGCGTGCGCCGGGGAGGAGGTGCAGGGACGGCGAGAGATAGGAGGAAGAACCAGGTAGGAGGAGGGTTGAGGAGGAGCCGGAGGCGGAGGCGGAGGCAGAGGCGGTAGCAGGAAGAGGGGGCGGGAGGAGGAGAGGGGGCAGTGGCGAAGAGGACGGGGGGAGGTGGACAGGGGAGCTGGAGGAGGAGGAGAGGCTTGAGGAGGAGGAGGAGGAGGAGAGGAGGAGGATGACAGAGGAGGATAAGGAGAAGGAGAGAGGAGGATATAGAGGAGAGAGCAGAAGGAGGAGGAGGGCGAGGACGAGGACGCGCGGCCCGTTTACATCAGAGGCCACGCCGTGGGGAGGACGATCGCCGGCGGCGGCCTGGCCTGTGGAAGCAACTTTTTGTCGCTCGGGGCGGCACCGCGGCGCGCTCGCCCGGGGTGTCTACCTATCTTGAGTTTCGGCGGCGAGCCCAGGGCGAAGGCTGAGGTGGGCGGGCTGTCCTGGAAGACTCACTGCTTCCGGCCTTCGAAAAGCTGTGTTAGCCTTCTCCGAAGCCGCATGGGGCTTCCCAGAAGAGGGGGCCCTGAGAGGCCCCGCCGCATTCCGAGAACGGCAGCAGCCCCCTTCTCGCTGCTCCCCTGGGCGCGCCGCCGAGAATTAGTCGATCACGGGCCCTCTCAGTTCAACTCGAGAAAATAGTGCAGAAGCATGTCGTTGTCTGAGGTCCGCGCTCATGTCTGAGGTCGGGGCAGATCTGCGTATACTCGGATCGCCTTCCGACTTGCAGAATCGATTGCATCCGAAGTTGGCCCATTCTGGCGAATATTTTTGTTGAGTATTTTTTGACCATTTTGAATTATGGTTGGAGTATGTTTTATTTGTCGTCGAAACTCCCTACTGCAACCGGCCATATACTTCATGAGACCATGCTAGCATCTTCCGAACGGCCGACGTAACGGGGTGTCCACGCAGCCGCCCAGCCATCGATGCTGCGATCGAGAGGCCGCCGATCGTCCACGGTGGAACGATCCGCGCGGTGTCGGGAACCAGCGCCTGGGCCGTCGCGACACGAGCGTGTCGTGCTCGTCACGACGGGGGGCCACAGGTGGACCCACCGATTTCGAGGGAGCAGGGACTCCTCCACCCGGCGTTAAAAATTAGGTCGGGCATGCCCCTCTGCAGGAGGACAACTCAAGCATAGTCAACAGATAGTCTGGGGACGATTCTTTGGTTATTTGTTTGACTATCTTTGGGTACTTGTTGACTGTGTTTCATGTTTCCTCCAAAATCCACTTGTAGGAGGACGAGCCCGACCTAACGTGGGGGCTCGGTATGGGGAAGGGGCATGCCTGCCGGCCAGGCCCGGCGGGTGCCGGTTTTCCCAGGGGGTCCCGCCTCGTGCCTTGGACGGTTGCGGACTGCATGCCGCGGCCGGCCAGGCCCCGAGGGTGCCAGTGTTCCCAGGGGGTTCCGCCTGGCGTGCTCGGGCGGGGATCAAGCGTGGGGAAGCCACGAGGTGCCGATGCCGCTAGTCCCCGGACGGACCTCTTCCGGGGTGCGTCCTGACCAGGATGCCGAGGCGAAGCCAGCAGTGGCGACGGAGGCTTCCCATGAGGCCAAAAACGAGGTGCACGAGCGAAGAAAAGCGGTATAGGGGCGT